TTTTTTTTTTTTTTTTTTTCTGTTCTGTCTCACTTTCTTGCATATGTACGTATAAAATCATTGTATAAATGAAATTGTGATAGTGTTTTTGGATTCGAAAAATGTAGATGGGACTGGTGTACGGGTGCCCCGTGGAGGATATAGTGACAGGCTTAACAATCCAATGTAGAGGATGGAAACCGGTTTTTTACAATCCAACGAAACATGCCTTCCTAGGCATTGCTCCAACGACGTTAGACGTCGCTCTCATTCAGTTCAAGAGATGGTCTGAAGGCTTGTTTCAGATTTTCTTTTCCAAGTACTGCCCCTTCATATATGGGCATGGGAAAATAAACTTGGGTGCCCAAATGGGATACTGTGTCTATCTTTTATGGGCTCCGATTTCGTTGCCTACGATGTATTATGTGGTGATTCCTGCACTTGGCTTGCTCCATAATGTGCCCTTATTCCCAGAGGTACTTGTTTCTGTATCATTGACTGCATCATTGATTTTAATGTTTAAGGCTGTATAAAAGTTACCGTTCCATCATATTTCAGGTATCTAGTTTATGGTTCCTACCATTTGCATATGTGTTTGCTGCAAAAACGATTTACAGCCTAGTCGAAAGCCTGATTTGTGGTGATACGTTGAAGGGATGGTGGAACTTGCAAAGAATGTGGATTATTAGGAGGACAACTTCTTACCTTTTCGCCTTCATAGATACAATTATTTGGCAACTAGGCTTCTCGCAGACATCATTTTCCATCACTGGAAAGGTGGTTGATGATGATGTGCTAAAGAGGTATCAGCATGAAATCATGGAGTTCGGAACTTCGTCTATAATGTTTGCCATTATAGCAACAATCGCAGTGTTAAATCTTTTCTGCTTGGGATGGGGAATCAAGAATGTTGTTTTTGGTACAACATTGATGGATTTAGAAAAGTTCATTCCACAAATGACTATTTCTGGGTTGCTGGTCTTGCTTAATTTACCGGTTTACCAAGCCTTCTTTCGCAATGACAACGGATGCCTACCTTCCTCGATCGTGTTCAAGTCCATTTTCGTAGCATCACTTGCATGTTTGATGCCTATTTACTGAAAGGATTATGTAAAACTAGCTAGCTCAAGTGAAGTACTGCTAAAAGGATGATGTGCAAGAACTCATCGAGTAAATAATTGGGTAGTTGAGAAATTATATATTTTCTCTCAAATCTTCGAGTTAATTGTTTCAAAAATCGCTCAATTTATACTATGATCACGGACTGCTCACCGAACTTTAATATACTTTACACTGCTCACCGTATTTCTTCCGTTTGCACTGCATCTATCACCAAATAAGTTATGTTAACCATTTCTATTGATGTGGCTAACGGAAAGTTGATGTGGCAATTAACACTCGGATAAAGTCACGCCAAATTAGCTTAGGCCTCCTAATCACTGTAAATCGTGTCATACTTGTATTTCAACACGTTTTTGACTTATCTTTAAAAAAATAATATCAAAACCGAACCCCTTTTTTATTCGCTCTGCACTTCTTCACCTTCACCTTCGACACCGTCGCCGCCTGACACCTCCGCAATCACTGTTATTCTCAATCGAAGACGTCGATGACGACGTTACAGGGACAATCCGGTCGTCCTCTGCTGGCTCCACTACCGCTAGCCTCCGATCAACTGTCAAAAAATCCTACAAGTTATATATAGGAGAGAGAAAATTCATCTGTTGGCGAGCAAATCCCGACGTTCGATTTGATGGCAGTTGTCGGAACTATTTCGCTTGAACGCGATATATACTGTTTAAACTCGCTCTCTCTCAAATCAACCATCGAAGAAATGGCAAATACTTCCCCGACTATCATCCCTATTTCATACAGTTTTGATTTCAATTTTCAAAAATAGTTAACTCTAAACTCATCTATCTCAAAGTGTTTGATGTGGCCTCATTTGTTTGTGATGAATCTCTTCAAATCTGGTTATCTATGCACATGGACTTCCTTTCCCCTCTAAGGCCCATTTTAATTTACCAAATTTGTCAATTTCGTCTTCTTTTGCTTTCAATTTTTGTAACGAAATGAATTACAGAAATAAAAAAATCTTTGGGTGGGTGACAACGATCGACGATAGGTGGATGGATTTTGGTTCGGCTGTAGTGGTGGTGATAGTGGTTGTGATGGTATTGGTGTTGGCGTTGGGTATGGGGGTGAGGCTGAGGGGAAAGATGAAGTTTTATTTCTTTGTTTTTCTTTTTGAATTTTTGTTTATTTATTTTATTATTTTATGAAGTAAATATAAATTTACTATTTTGTCCTCTACTATTATGAGGCGTTAGCTGATTTGGCGTGATTTTATTGGGTGTTAGTTGCCACGACAACTTCCCGTTTGCCACATCAGCAGAAATAGTAATAGAACTTTGTTGGTGATGGATGGAAAGTAGACAAAGGAAGTTCGGTGAGCGGTGTGAAGCATATTAAAGTTTAGTAAGTAATTCGTGATTATTGTATAAGTTGAGTGATTTTTGAAACAATGAACTCTATATCTTTCGGTCAATAATTTCAACTAATAAATAAATAAATATATTGAATTCCTCACTTTTAGGTCAGGGATATTGTCATCAATGACACACACACATATATATATATATATATATAGACACACACACATATGTATATATTGAATTCCTCACTTTTAGGTCAATGATAATGTCATCAATGACAAATTTGATATCTTTCAGATTCTTAGGCCATGCTACTCGTATAATCACTCACATGGGGGTCCTTTTTGTTAAAAAAAAAAAAATTTTTAAACATGCAGACTCCACACATATGTGAGAGATTGTCTACCGAAGTTATCAACCTCGATTGTACAAATAAAAATTTCACAGATTCTTAGGCTGCTCCCGAGTTTGGCTCCAAATTTGCTTTCATTTTCGTACTTGTCGATCAAATTTTATTATTTGATAAAATAGATTAGGGCCCGTATGCATTAAAGTGCCCATGTTTCAAAGTCTTTTCGGGCTCCAAGAATAGCAATGTTGATTTAAAAATGGACCATGCTAGTGGTATATTAAGAATTACATCGGGGTGTACACTCCTCTCACATGGGGGTGAGGTCCACTCGAATAAAAAATTATTATGGACCATTTGCCCCAATTACCACTAGTTTAATTGGGAATTATATTTGTTGGGTTGGAATTGTGGAATTTAGGGTAGGTTATTGATCATTTAACTTTGCTAGGTTAATTTTGGCACAATTTTTAACAAAAAATGTGTAAGCATTTTGGTGTTTAAGCGTGCATATATATAAGTTCAACAAAATGGGTTAACTGCATTATGATGCGTATACATTGTATGGGAGTCATTTCGAAAAAGCATCGAACATGTTAATCGGTGACCCCACAACCAGTTCTCTAGTTAGGTCAATGTATATTGTGAGGTGTCTTTCGTTCTAGCGCAAAAAAGGCGCAGTACGATAGCAATCTACTTCATTAGACTACCTTTTGTTTATCAATTTTAGGACGAAAAACAATTAGGTTTCTTTTTTCAACCACATATTTCACATCAAATTAACAGTAAAAATACACTCTTTTTTCAAAAATATGCACCAAATGGGGGCTTAAAGAAATCTTTATAACATAAATAAGATGGATTAAGTCACTTGTACATTTTTTGGGTGACATGAAGTTTGACATTGTGTGTATATTCAAAAATGGTTTGGAGGGGGCACAATGTAAAACTTGATGTCAAACTTAATGTACTTGTAGCATGATTGAAATAAGAATTGAATGTATTGAAAATAGGACGATGCTAGTGGTACATTAAGGATTACATCGAGGTGTACACCCCTCTCATATGGGGGGTGGGGTCCATTCAAATAAAAAAATTATTATTCGAGTGGACCCCACCCCCCATGTGAGAGGGGTGTAGACCTTGATGTATAGATCTTAATGTACAAGTAGAAATATCCTTTAAAAATAGGTTCCCACTTTCTGGTTGTACAACTATACTGTACAACAAGTATATTTGTGAAAGGAATTATTCCACAAGTACTGGAGAAAACGGACAAAATTGCATTGACAACACTGTGTGTGTTTTTTTTTTAATGTTTTTGTCATATTTCAGATTGAATTACTAATTACAGAATTTTTACAGCATCATGTGCATTTGTGTGTGTGTGTTTTTTTTAACTTTGAATATATATTGTTGATTTCAAATTCTTGTATCAATTCTGTACATTTTTTACTTGTAGACTGACTGTTTCAGATTTATCTGTACGATTTCTGTGTAAAAAATGTTACTCTTCAACACTTTGTGCAGCACTCAAATCCATCAAGATTATGCCAAAGGTGTAAAGGACCACTTGCAAGGTTTGAAAATGTCTTCTACATAAAGCCAAAAGCTTGCGTCTGAATAAAGACGAGATGGATTATAATGGTTGGCCCTGTTCACGTAGCATGATGAGATAGCTGAAAGGTACAATGAAGAATTGCAATTTTAATTGGATTAATCAGTAATAAATATGGCAACGGCCGCCCGCTGCTCTATTATATAATATACCAGTTCTGGAAAAAAAAGGCTGGGAAAATCATGGTGATGACAAATGATAGTCATTTTCCACTGTTTGAAACCAAGAAAACAAAGGGCAGAATAATTTACAAGCTATTTGCAGCCTCAAACTTTGTTGGAATCTTTTTCATTTGGGTTTACAGAGCAACTCATATTGCAGGATTTACAGATGTTGGAAAACTCGGATGGATTGGAATGTTTGGAGCTGAGCTGTGGTTCGGCTTTTACTGGGTGCTCACTCAAGCTCCTCGTTGGAACCGTCTGTCTCGTCAGACTTTCAAGAACAGGCTCGCTGAGAGGTTTCTCCTCCTCTTCGAACGTTTTATTTGTTTATACTACTATATGGACATTGTTCAGGGACAACGCTACATGTTAGATAAATTGGTGCATAAATTATATTCCATTAACGTAAACATGTGCATACAAATATGGATTTCACCACCTGTGTTAACATGATCAAATGGATATCCATCACACGCTTTTTTCCAAATTAATATAGCACAATATTAATTTTAAATGGCGAACTGTACTCTTTTAGAATAGAAGATATCGAATATTAAACATCGTACGTGAAACTCAAAATAATTTGGAAATTATTTTGACATAAGTTGGAGAGGAAATGAATTAGAAATCAATTATATGGAATTGATTTAGAGCTTGTTTGGGACGGATTAAAATCCAATTAAAATTGAAAATATAGCCGTTATTGGGTCCCACTCGTCTAATAAAAGTCAACTCCAACGGCTATATTTTCAATTTTAATCTGATTTTAATCCCTCCCAAACAAGCTCATAATGTATTATTCTCCTCTTCGAACGTTTTATTTGTTTATACTACTATATGGGCATTGTTCAGGGACAACGCTGCATGTTAGATAAATTGGTGCATAAATTATATTCCATTAACATAAACATGTGCATACAAATATGGATTTCACCACCTGTGTTAACATGATCAAATGGATATCCATCACACGCTTCTTTCCAAATTAATATAGCACAATATTAATTTTAAATGGCGAACTGTACTCTTTTAGAATAGAAGATATCGAATATTAAACATCGTACACGAAACTCAAAATAATTTGGAAATTATTTTGACATAAGTTGGAGAGGAAATGAATTAGAAATCAATTATATGGAATTGATTTAAATTGAAAAAAAATAAATTAGGTGTCACTTCCTAATAAGTGGACTCAACTTTTTGAACTGTCGGCCGTTATTGTAAGCCTAGACAATAGATCGAACACAATATATCTTATAGGTTCTCTATTGTGTTTATTATTTCGGTCCTGAATCTTGTTGATTCTGTAAGTGCGCTAGAAAATTCGCCAAAGTAAAATTCTCATAAAACCGACCAAATTCGTACTCACATAGGTGATGTTTTATAAAGAGTACCTTACAATACTCCACTTATACTGTTTACAAAATATAGTCATCATTAAAAGAATAGCTTATCCTAACCAATTTTTTGTAAGCAACACTTATTTCTATCATAAAAATGAGGAGTTAAAACTCCAAAGTGCTTCTCATAGAGTTAATCATAACTAGTTTTCCTATTGAATCTAATCCATGGGATCTCCAGTCGCCGATTAGGTTTCTAATACGTTGACCAGTAAGTTTAAGTTGTACACCCATTTCCCTCGATGTGCTGTTTATTCTCTCTTGATAACGTATTTATAAATGGATCAATTAGGTTATCCTTCAATAAAACAATCAATATTGTTTAATTTGAGAGTAACTGCCAAATAGTATAAATGTCTAACTGCGGATGTCGAGATTTACCATTATATACTACATTCTATGCCATGTGACTTGTAGCTAGTGAATTATATAACAAGCACAGGTTGTCACAATAGGAAATCCTTCCAAAATATTTGAAGCCAATCATGTTTCCTTCTAATTTATTAGAAGTTTTGATTTTTTTTCAAATTTCAAGTTATATTGAAGATTTTCACACGTTATAGTAAACCATATTTACTAGTAGATTTTGAATTCTTGCATTGGATATCCAATTTTCAACATCATGCTCATCTTAAGTTTAGCAAGGTATTCATTACAGTGTAATTATCATTTCAAATATTTTCGAATATCTCAATATTCTAATTTGAAAAAAACAACAACCAAACTTAGAGTGCATCAAAACTTTAATTGAGAATATTATGCAAGAAAATCATATCGTTACCCGAACCTAAGATTCACTTCCTCTAAGCCAATTAACCTAGTGACGTTTCACCAGTGAGTTTCTAGTGTCATTTGGTTTCAATTGAGCCACCATGAACAAAAGTGTTCTATTAAAGCAAAGACCATGACAGGGTTGAAAATGGACATTACACGGTTTCCAATTCATATAAGATCACAGTAAAAGTTCACATAAAACATTTAACAGCCAATTTTCATGCATTGGATATTAAACTCAACAAATATGATTGAATTTAATATCTACATACCATAAACATAATCGATTTAACAACCACAAATTCACTTTTGCACTTTTGAATTCAGAAGTAATTTTTCACTTTTGCACTCTGTGTATATATATATATATATATATGAAACATATCGTAACAAATGCTAATTTATAATCCAATGGTGTGCTAATATCAATTTTCTGATCAATAAATACATTTTAATTTTGAACTATTTCAATCTCATGATTCCTATTTCAAATATAATATAATATGATATGCACAAGATAAGTCGTCTCAAGATTGCTGCATAAATTATATTCCATTAACATAAACACGTGCATACAAATACAAATAGAGTAACGATTTATCGAAACCATGTTACATGCATTATATAGATACAACGTTTCTTTCAAAATTAATATAGTACAATATTAATTTTGTCTAGCGAACCAATGCTTGACCGTATTCTTCTAGAACGGAAGATATCGAACATTAAATATCGACTACGAAACTCAAAATAATTTGGAAATTATTTTGGCATAATTTGGAGAGGAAAGGAATTAGAAATCAATTATATGGAATTGATTTGGAGTGAAGAAAATGGAATTAGTTATAGATTTTCACGTGTTACTTCCTAACGGTTGCATCTTTTGGCAATATAATTTTTAACCATCAGACCACACCATTTCATAATTGACAGTCTAGATTGCACCTTTTTACTTTTCGTTATGCACCTTTTACACTTGAAGAGTAGTACCTAATCGTTACACTCATTAAAGACTTTTTCCAATTCGCACATTTTAATCTTTTTAGATACCCTTAAATTCCAACACTACACACCAAAATGAAATAATAGCATGTTTGGCTAAGCTTTCAAGCAGCCTTTTTGCCATCTTGTTTCGGCTCACTTACCGCCTAAATCAGCTAAGAAGCATCTGCTTAAAAGCTCTGCCACACATGCTTAAATCTGCTCGTCCTATATTTATTCTTTCTCCGCGTAGTTTCAGTGATCGTGCAGTAGTAGTATTCTTGTCCAGCTTTTTAACATGTTGATGAACAGGTACGAAAATGAGTTGCCTGAGGTGGACATTTTTGTTTGCACTGCTGACCCAACAATTGAGCCACCAATGTTGGTGATCAATACTGTTCTATCAGTTATGGCTTATGATTACCCAACAGATAAACTCAGTGTGTATCTCTCAGATGATGCTGGCTCGGATCTTACCTTCTATGCCCTCCTGGAGGCTTCACACTTTGCTAGGCATTGGTTACCGTATTGTAAAAAGTTCAACGTGGAACCTCGATCGCCTGAAGCTTATTTCAGGTCAGAGCTCGGCCAATTAGATGCAAGCCAGGTCAAAGCTCTGGCTTCTGTCAAGGTACTTACTAGTTTACAGTATACTAATCTGATGATACTTTAGAAGCCTGTCCCTGGTATTCGTATTGTACACAGCAATGAGCAAAGGGGAATTTCAATGTTTTCCTAAGTTTATTTCTTGCTTTATGATTTTATAGTACACACTGGAAGTTGGAATCATTTTAAGAACCCTGTTGTTATATTTTGCAAAGCAGAAACTATATGAAGATATGGAGAACAGAATTGAGCTTGCAAAAAAACTTGAACGAGTCTCCAAAAGTGCACTTCTAGAACACAAGGGATTTTCAAAGTGGGATAAATTTTCATCTCGAGGAGATCATGATACCATCCTGCAGGTACAATGAAAGTTCCGTTTTCGACCTGATTTCTTGTTTCTTGCCAATAAATTTGAATCTAAAAGTACATATATATTCTTGCAAACCAGAAATCAAAGTTATTTTATTTCGTAACATACAATTATAAGTGATTTTCTATGTTGGATTTTCACATTTACCAGGTATTGATTGATGGAAAAGATGCAGAGGTTAAGGATATTGAAGGGTGTAGACTGCCAACTTTGGTGTATTTGGCTCGCGAGAAGCGACCACAGCATTTCCATAACTTCAAAGCTGGAGCTATTAATGCATTGGTAAGTTTCATGTTTACAAAAATCAGCACATACATACTAATCAAATCAAATTTATAGAGAAAAAGATACTTTCACATTCTCTAAGCAATTTCTGATTTTTTCTGCTTTTTAGACAAAAAATTATTCTCATTTTGTGTGCCATTCACCTTTTGATTTACGCTATTACTTCCCGTTGAACCAAAATCACATTTTTTAAGGCAGGAAAGTTGCATTACATGATATATTTACTCTTGTAATATATGTGCAGATAAGGGTGTCATCAGAGATCAGCAATGGACCTATAATTCTAACTGTAGATTGTGATATGTACTCAAATAATTCGCAATCAATTCGAGATGCGCTCTGCTTCTTCATGGACGAAGAAAAGGGCCATGAGATTGCTTTCGTGCAGTTTCCACAGAATTTCCATAATATTACTAAAAATGAATTATATGGAGGAACCCTAAGAGTGATCGCTGAGGTTATTATATTAATATACACGACTCACATATGTTTTATATAAAAAATATGCTTATTTATCTTATGAATTTTGGTACATAAGGTGGAATTTCATGGTTTGGATGGTTATGGAGGGCCTATGTATATTGGAACTGGCTGCTTTCACAGAAGAGACATCCTTTGTGGAAGAAAATATACCAAGGGATCTACTATCGACTGGAACACAAATAGTATACGCAAAACAGGGGAAAGTGTTCAAGAATTGGAAGAAAGAATAAAAGGCCTTGCTGACTGTATTTTTGAAGAAAACACTCAGTGGGGCAATGAGGTGTCTCTCTTTTCATAAGCACATTTTCTCATATATATGAGTTTTGCATATAATGTTACAGTGAAAACTGTTCTGATATTGGGCAGATGGGTCTAAAGTATGGCTGTCCAGTTGAAGATGTGATAACGGGGCTGTCAATTCATTATCGGGGTTGGAAATCAATCTATTTCAATCCAAAAAGGAAAGCCTTCTTAGGTGTTTCTGCAACTACCCTTGATCAGACACTAGTGCAACACAAGAGATGGTCCGAGGGCGATTTACAGATTCTCTTTTTGAAATACAGTCCAATTTGGTATGGACTAGGCAGAATCCATTTTGGGCTCATAATGGGATATCTCACCTTTTGCCTATGGTCTCCTAATTGCTTCGCAACATTGTATTACTCCATTGTCCCTTCTCTTTATCTCCTCAAAGGCATCTCCTTGTTTCCACAGGCATGTTTTCTCCAGTTCTTTCTCATCATTCTGAAATTTAAATTTTCTTCTTGTCAACAAATATCACAGCTTTACTCAACATTCAGGTCTCGAGCCCATGGTTTCTTCCATTCGCGTATGTGATTGCAGCCGAGCATATATATAGCATTATCGAGTTTCTCAGAGCAGGTGGAACAATTTTAGGCTGGTGGAATGAGCAAAGAATGTGGCTTTACAAAAGAACAAGCTCTTTTCTGTTTGCAGTCATGGATACCATCTTCAAACTGATGGGATATTCAAATTCGGGTTTCGTAATCTCAGCAAAAGTCGCTGATCAAGATGTTACACAGAGATACGAGCAAGAAAAGATGGAGTTTGGGTTCGCTTCACCAATGTTCATCGTTATATCATCAGTGGCAATGATCAATCTGTTCTGCCTCGTCGGGACGTTAAAGAAAATGCTTGTTATCGGGGAATTCAAATCTGTTTACGAAACCGCAGCTTTGCAGATTCTTCTATGTGGGGTTCTGGTTTTGATCAACTTGCCATTGTACAATGGTCTTTTCTTTAGGAAGGACAAGGGCAGGATGCCAAGCTCTGTAACTGTTAAATCAGTGGTTTTTGCTCTTTCTTTGTGTACTTGTTTTGCATTTTTATAAAACAACCATGAAATGTTGTAACTTTTCAAACAGATAAATTAGTTACATTGGTTGCAAGTTGTAATTTTAATTTACTCTACGAAGAAAAAACATTAGTTTGCTGTATCATTCGATCTTCTATTTTTTATACTTCATTGCACTCAAATATGGACCAACACATAAATGGCGTGCACAATTTTATCCACTGCATCTCAACCATGATCAAATCCTAGATTAGAAATTTGTACTTGCTATGATTCATTTGTGAAGAATTTCAATTTTAAAGATTTGTGGAGAACGAAGTTTTCTCTTTGGAAATGTTATTGGTTTTTTTCAAGACAACGAATAAGGGTAATTATAAAAATATAGTCAATTATAAATATTGATTCTATTCATAAAAACTTACTATTACATAATTTTGTTAAGAGTTAAGCTACTTTACCCGATTTTGGTGCCACCTCGGTTGATCGACTCTCACATTGCACCGTGGGTCTCGCGTGGATTATATAATGCCAACCCCCATATATGTGTGTTCGGTCAACCAAAGTGTCATCCCAGATGTTCATGTAGCATTACTATTTTGTTAAAGGCAAAATTGAAGTCAAAGTCTCCACAAAAGAATAAAAATTAAAAAATTGAAGTTTGTATGTTAAATTATGTACTACAAGAACACTACAAATTGGTTGGAAAAATATTGCCATTTTGTCTCTAATGTAAATGTATGATATGCCTTTGAAGACGTTAATTGTTCTACTTCGTATTACTAGTGTGATGTAGTTATTTTCGGCTTTTCGCTAGTGAAATTCAACAATTTGTAAAAATTCAATATTTTAGTGTAATTCGAAAACGTAGAATTCTGTGCCTAACACTCAGGAGAATTCACGTTATTGTCATTGTCGATTTTAGTGACGAATTCTCCAATTTGCTACAATTCTACATTCCAGTCTACTTTCGAAACTTAGAATTCTGTGTTTTATGCTTGGGAAAAATCGTGTAAAGTTTATTGACAAATTCGACATATTGAAACGATTCTACATTTCAGTTCATTTTTAAAACACAAATTTCTACGCTCCACACTTTGGAGAAATAATGTAGTCATCAAAACGTAGTGGACTGGCAAATGCAATTTTCATGTACTATGTCTTCGTCTTCAAAAATTCGAAAAACTTTCAGCAATAAAAATTTTCAAGAACAAAAGATTAATGTGCATTTTGTTGTGTTTTCTCCCCTTCATTTTTCTTGTCGATTGGAACATAGCTTATCATTGCGTGGAGAACCTAACTAATCAAGTAAGCAAACGGCGTCGTAAAATTCAAACATCTGAGAAATCTGTAACATACGTGGCGGATTATTATTGGTTATTAAACGGAAACGCGACTCCTCAGTCTTCATGCTCTTGTCGCAGGTAATCAAAACCCGGTCAAACCAAGACAATTCAAGTCCAGACCAAGTTACAAGCGCACTTCTCAAAGCTCTCGGTTTTCGTATGATAAATCAAAGGGGACAAAATTTGTTTGATTCTGTATAAATTTGTCTTTCGAGGGGGAATAAAAGGTAACACAAAATCGTTTTTTTTCCTTCTTTATTGTAATTTGTCGTTTGTTTTTGTTAGAATTAATGTATTTTTTCGATTGGGATTCAGATGAAGCTTTCAATTGCAGCGGCGGCGATGGTAATTATGGCCACCTTCGGGGGAGCCTTTGGGATCAGATTTGTGATAGACAGGGAGGAATGCTTCTCGCATAAGGTGGAATACGGGGACACTGTTCATTTTTCATTTGTGGTGATTAAGTCTGAGGGTTCTTGGCATTACAGTGAAGATGGTGTTGACCTTGTGGTAAGCTTTCTTTTACCATGCCACTGTAATCCTGTATTTTTCATCAATTAGTTTTGTTGATTGAAATGTTTCTTTGACTAAAAATGATGTGACACCTTTTAGATCAACTTAGGGAAATTTTAAGGGAACAACTGTGTAATGTTTGTTGGAATTTGATGCTTTGGAGATGTAATTTACTTTGCCCTCGATTGGTAGAGATTAAAATTAGATTTTTAGTAAATTTTGATAAAAGTTGGATGAAATGTATGAATGAAATTTGTGGTCCGATGAAAAGTGTGATTAAAGTTAGCTGTGTTTGGTTTGGATAAAAAGGCTTCTCTTGATCAATTCGAAGTGGACCCTTAAGTAATTCGACATGGATTTTCAGATCGGACACCAACAAAATTAATTGATACTTGTTTGGATGCAATTTTTGTATCTTTTTTCGGAATGAACTCTTAATCTAAATTTAAATACCTTATGAATTGCTAGTCAGAATCATGCAGACTATATAATAAAAGATGTATCAGCGTGCAATATAAATAATTATTGTATGTTCAGTTTATTCTTTGAAATGTTTGCTAGTAATTGTTAAAAGCAGAGGGAGAAAAATGAATGAAAATAAGATCAGTGAATGGGGAAACAGTAATTAGAGAATTGTATTCCCCGAACTACTCTTGTATTCGCATTTGGATTGAACGAGAAGGTTATCATTAAAGAGCATTATATAACCAAGACATTCTTTGTATTATGACATTGTACAGTTGTGAAAGGGTGTTCCATTCCTAGAACTGATTGCTAGTTTGCTCTCTGACTTTTTGACAGGAGAAAATTAACTGCATATATACTGAACATAATTCAAGCATTTCTAATTGCACAAATGTTTAAGCCCACACGAATATTTCTTAGATGAAGATGAAAGGCTTTAGTAACACAATTCTCTTCCTTTTTTAATGTTGTTATCCTTAGTTATAGATAAATCTTTACTTGTTCTAGGAAATACTAGCTGCAAATAGAGGAATTGAGACCAATAATTAAAAAAAGAGACTTGTTACACCGGTTCTTTCCATTGGTATATACTTGGTGAGAAACATCAGTTAGTGTTTCTCGTGGACACGTGAAATAGACATGCATTTTTCTTATCAAATCCCTCCTGCGTCTACAAGGGAAAAAAAATACAATATGTTTTTTGTTATCATGTTTATCTGAAAGGCAGTTTGCGTGATGGCATGGTTGTACAGATCATGTATGAAAACGTTATGCTTATGAATTTTTATAAATACTTTGGTTTAAGTACTCTTTTTGACTAGGGAGATCGCCTACCCAATTTTAAAATTATCAGGTAAAGGGACCAAACGGTGAACAGATCCACGATGTACGTGATAAGACAAATGAGAAGCACGAGTTTTTGTCTTATCATCAAGGAGTCTACCGTTTTTGTTTCACTAACAAGTCCCCCTATCATGAAACCATAGACTTTGATGTGCATGCTGGTCACTTTGCATACCATGACGAGCATGCTAAAGATGGTAAGCACGTTTCTGTGATTTTTCTTAAATCCGTCTCTAATGTACACTTCAAATATTAAACATAGCATGTTTTGTTCGACATCTGCAGAGCATTTCAACCCTCTCTTTGAACATATTGGGAAGCTAGAGGAAGCTTTGTATAATATTCAGTTTGAGCAACATTGGCTTGAGGCTCAGACTGATCGTCAGGCAATAGGTATTGGTTCAACTTTTTCTGTTCGTGATGTTATTTCTATGTCAAATACTTCTGCCCACATCTATTGTATTTGACATATCACACTTCATTCTTCTATTGCCAATTTTTACATCTTTTATTGTTTTCCTTTACGGCCCAGGTTAGCAATTAGCTTCATATATCATGTGCTACCGCCACATTCACATCCTTAGTTTCACAAGGAAAAACTGGTTTTCTATACATTTATCTTCCACCAGAATAACAAACTTTCCATTTTTTCCAAATTTCACTGAACGTCTAGAAAGAAATGAAAAGAACGAAGTACGTAGCTGCTATAATTTATTCATTCATTTTCTCATATTGTACACTGGGTCTCATTCTCCCCAAACCTAACATTAGAGAAGGTCCTTGATGTTTCCTTCCCAGTAAAAATATAGTACCCAAGCAAGTTGTTTAGGTGCACCACTTTTTAGGTCGTCATTTCAGTTCTTTATATGTACGTGCATGTGCCAAAGGATGCAACAGTTGTGGATCGATTCCATTTCATGCACTAACTAGATTTATGTTATTCAAATTGTAGTAAATGAAGGAATGAGCAGAAGAGCAATCCACAAAGCTATATATGAATCAATTGCTCTCATTGGGGCCTCTGTTTTGCAAGTCTACATCTTGCGTCGTTTGTTTGAGCGAAAGCTAGGCGCATCTAGAGTTTAAGCTTGGCATCGCTAGATCCGATCAGCTGGAGAATGTAACTGGAAAATGTTATTGAAAGGGTATTCTATCAGCTGGAGAAATTATGGGTTTTTTTTTTAATATACATTTCTCAGTAACCATTTTCGAAAACGTATGTAACATTACCACATCTGGGGCGCATCTCTCTTACAGATGTTAAATTATTATAAAACCTGTTTCAAGAATTTGTTGGTTTAATTATTTGTCTATTCGATTCTACGACTCATTTGAAAAATACTATTCTTTGAATACATGTACTTCTTTTGAGTCTTTAAATGGATTGAATTGCTCGTTTAAACTTCATAAACTCTGTTGCCAAACATTTAAATATTATGTATTTATTTCATGTTTATTCATTATGGGATTTACCCTAAACAACTACTACGTACCAGAGAAGGTTTCATGGATGGAGAACTGATCGAATGTGAATTGTGTGGATGATGCGAAACATTCAAAGGCAATGCAACAACAGTTAAACTGGGTGGGGAGTAATAGTTCCAAATAAAATTAGTATATTGTAGGTTGAGAGTGAGAATATAGCGTTTGTTTAACAAATAAATATGCAAGTGATTTTAAAATTAACTTTGAGACAAGGAAAGCTCTACAGACCACAAGATACAAAGGAACCACGAAACACAACTTCATCGCGATGATTCACCAAATATAACATAGACGTTTTTTCAAGTATTTCTTATTCGTCTCTTGCACAACACAAATGGTGCCGGATAACACCTGCAAATCCTATCTAAAGGCATATATAGATTGAGCCGTTATAGACATGCACTTCTATATTGATACAGATAACTGGATCAAGAATCTGTGCGGGGGCTCTGCATGCAGCAAAACCATTTCTTCTGCAAATCAATGAATTATTTATCAGTATTAGTCAGTTGATGCCGGAGAAAATCACGAAATGAAGCCTCGTTTCACCCTTCTATAAATTTGGCCGTGAAAATTACTTCCCTATAAAGTGGCCGAAAACTAAAATACCACATATTTATGGCAGTAGCTTCATTGTGAGAATGCAAAATAATTTATTCCATTATGTTCTTTGCAATGAAAAGACATTACCAGTCAGCAATGGTGCAACTGTCATGAAAATTATACAGGTAGAAATCACATATCCATATAAGGCGAATAAGAATATCTTTCAGAACAAAGGCCAATACTAAGGGCCTGCATGGGAGTTTTAGGGTACCGGTTTTGGGGCGTTTATGAGGGATCCGATTTTGTGTGATTTTTAGTAACGATTTTTAAGAACTCCAATCCATGTTTGAGAGTTTATTATCTAACTTACATATAAGTTAATTTCCAACTTAAATGTGAAATATTTAATTATAATTAAAATTTTAAGTTATAAATAAATTTTATAGTTATAAGTTAATTTTGTACTTCTAAATAATTTTGTACACAAATATTTTTTTATATTTTATGAGTGAATTTTTGTAATACTAGTAAAGTAAGCAAATTTTTACACAAAAGTTTATTTTATCTTATAAGTTCTTTATAAAGTAATTTTTTGCTTATAAGTTTTTTAGTTAATGCAGTCTTATGTACAAATTAGTTTTGAACAATATATGTGGATTGAAAATAATTATTTTCTAGGGAATAAAATTGGAAAGAATTTTAGAAATGACCAAAACTCATCGATTTGGTGGGTTGAAAAATGCGGCCAAAATTACGCTACACCGGTTTTGGAGATATTTAAACCATCCACAAAATCGGTGTCGAAAACACTAACAAGCACCGGTTTTTCCAGCATCTCATAAACGATGCCATCCAAAAGGTATGAAAGAACTCCTAAGCAGCCCTAAGCGCCTGTTTGATGTAGATTTTTTAAGAATAGATCCGTGAGGAAAAAAATTTGAGGAACGGTGAAAAAGTATGAAAAACTTATGAGTCCCAATTGCAAAACTATTTTATTGAGAGAATGTGCAGTCGAAATGAGTTTGAGAAAAATGAGTTTTTAAAGAATCTCTACCTAACGGGGGATAAATTTCTCACACAAAATTATGCCGAATATACCAAATGAAAGACAGTGAGACGTGAAAAAAATGGTTTTAAACCAAATGCTGAATAAACCACTATTTACAAGACATTTAATGCATATCCATCTCACTGTAACTTCATATTCAATGCCAAAAACTAAAGCCAAAAACTAAAATAAGTCATCAAAGAACAACTTACACCCTGAGGTTTTAAAGATTCCACTCCATGCTTAGTATTTGTATCCACCTTCGAAGGTGACTCAGGTTTCCCACCTGTCTTCTTCTCATCCCTGGCCTTGTTAAATATGACAGTAAATCCCTCTGCGGAAGCAGGGTCATTAACATCCCAGTCGCCAAACTTTGGCAATGGCCGACCCTTCTCCTGCCCAAAGTTACAGGTAAAACGCAAATAATAAAGTAACCAAGATGTGCATAAAGATATTGAAAACCCAGAATAACTGGGGCCAATCAGATATCAAAACTGAAGTTGAAGATTCCAGGAAAATAGATGAATACAAGCAAAAGCTTAGCAAAGACAAATCACTTCTAGTACAGATAAATCTTCAGTTGATATTGCTAAATCAAAGGATCACAAGATGGAGCTGAGCATCCTATACGTCTCAAAGTAGGATAATCAATTCACAACAACACTAGAACCAGATCCAACACAAGGAACAAAATATTTAAGCTTTGCAGTTTGGTAAATGAAGGCGAAGACTGCACCTTTTATACACATGGCAGCGTGAGTTGCCTCTAGGACTTGCATAATGTTTTTCAAGTTCTTAATGCTACATTAGTAAATTCAAAATTTTCAAACTAGTTCTGCTTCCACATTGCTTTCGTATTGTTTTTTTCTTTTTAGCATTTTTCATGTCCAATCTCGCATAATCTTCTTCAATATCTTTTTGTTGGTTTGAAAGAATGGATCCAAGAATCGATATATGCCACTTTGATTAGTTCCAGTTACAAAAATATTAATTTTAGTGAAGAGAGAACAAAAATATGGAAAAGAAAAATTGCTGTAAATGCACATCGTATGAATGTAAAATGTGAAGTGCTCATAGAAGAACTCTGAGGGCTCATTTTCCTTTAGTTTATTGATGTCTACGAACATGCAACCAAAATCTTTTGAAACCAAATATGGACTTTAAATGTAAGGATCCAAAAGGCTAGTTGTGTCATTGAAGCAGAATGATATGGTTCTGAAATTCGTTTCACTAAAATTACTAGTCCTCGTAACTTTGTCTGAAATACTGAGCAAATTGGCACCTGCAATGAGGTTAGACACTGGAAACTGTGGATGGGAAATCATCGCAGAGAGTCGTATGTAAATTTTTCTAATTGCAAACCTAAGTCTATTCAGAATATAAGTATCTATACTATATCTTCATCCTCTAACCCAACAAAAAATGTTTCTCAAACCACTACAAACTGTGGATGGAAAATGATTGCTGAGTCGTATGTAAACTTAGAAGTATCTATGCTATATCTTCATCATCTAACCCAACAAAAAAGTTTCTCAAAGCACTACAAACTAAATCTAATTCCAAAAGTACATGATATGTAACATCATTCTTCTAAATGCACGAAGTACCAATGTTGCACACTTCAGTCTAGATCTATGTCGTGGAACACTTGTTCGATATTTAGTGAGGATCATAATTCTATAAATTATATTGTAGAGTTTTTATTTGTTATATAAATGGCTTCATATATGCAATTTGAATTCTTTTAGCCATAGTAAACATAATATTTTACCAGAAAAAATAAAGAAAAAAGATTAAGCCCACGTTTGATTCCCGTTCTTTTCAAACTCTTCTTTCTACATGAACATATTCAACCACACATTCACACAATAAAATATTCTATACGTAAACTTAAAACTTTTTCCCTACTTTTTAAACACGCGCTCCTAAAACACTATTCAAAACTCCCTTTTTTTTTTAAGAATCGCCAAAATAAAGGGCTAAAAGTACTAATTTTTAACCAATTAGCCTTGCCTACATGCATAAAATTTTGATGTTTGACGAACTTGACTTTCAGATAGATCCCGCACCCAACACTCTTACCTGAATCAAGTAAAATATCCTAAAAGGGAATATATTCAACTACATCTCCAAAAACCATGACATTAAAATATCACCACTGTCTTTATAACCCACTTAATGTTTCCTTAGAACGAGAAGGAAGATGTTGCAGGGGTCAAAATGTTTCATTACATGTCATTAAGGATCAATGGTTGTGGCACAGTAGCACTAAGTCCATGTGAAGGAAGTGACAAAAAAATTAATTGATATAACGGAAAAGCACTGGGAACACATTTGTGAATATCTTTGTCCAGGAATTGGTAAAATATAAAATTTTCACGCAGTGGACATTACAGTTTGTGGTCATCCATTTTCCATCGAGGCCTCCCACATTTAATTGGCCACTAAAGTCGGTAACCCAGAGTGGGAAACTATGCTACTGTTGCACAAATTAGAAGATATAAACTAGACAACTGAAAAAATAAGAGTACTTGTAATAAACAAAAAGAAATCTACCAAGTTCCCAAATGAAAATATTTAAAGAAGCTTCAAGTTAAATGGAAACAATTTTACATATTGCCATAGATATTTCATCTTTTCATTTATTTGGTCTCGTTACTTTTCTTTTTGATATGGAGAATAGGATGACACCTATTCAACATTAAAAAAACCACGGATTAAGTTTTAATTTATTCCCTTGAACATCTCCGGTAAACAAACAATCATAGCACGTCAAAATTCAATCATACAACAGCAAACATCAAATCAAATTTTTTTTCTACAATATATTTCTTAATATTGTCTCAAATAGCAAAAATTCAACAGTACAAACCCTTACACCAAAGCGATCAATCAAAACATCAAAAACACAAAAATATCCAAATAAAATTAAAGGATTAGCGGAATAATCAAACAAAAAAGAGAAACATGCCCGAATCGATTCAAATCCGAGACAAGTAATCAATAAAATCCAAATCTGAGACTTGTCAGAATTACATACCGACATGAATCCGTAGGAAGAGATTTTTATAAGAATAAAGAAAAAGAAAATGACTCGAGCAGTAGATATAGAGTTGGAGCCGTCGAAGTGTACAGTAATTTATACTCGAGAGAGAATAATAATGGAACGAAAGTGTGAATGCAAGTGTTTGCAAGTGGGAAAATGGGTGAATTACTTTATTTATTATAAAAATACTTTCAAAATATTTTCTTTGAAAACTGAATTTTATTGTCTCTTACCTCATAATTTGTATCACAAAAACCAAAATAAAAAAATAAAAAAAAATACAAAATAGTCCTTGGGGTAAGGTAATTGTTTCGATCCTCCGTCTTCTGAAAAAAAAATAAATCGGTCATCAATACTTTCGATGGATACGTGTGGTCCCAGTGATGAAATTTTTTCTCCTTTTTGATTGAAATTAAAACACCTATTTCCGAATGCAAAATCAAAATATACACACGTCTCCTTTTCAAGTCTTATTGCAATTACTTCTAAAAGTGTTTTTTAAGTAAAATCTTTGAGTAAAAATTACATATCGACCTAAGCTTAAGATAGGATGTTGATGATAAATTAAGAGAGCAACGAGGTTAGATTTAACAAAAAGTTTGTCAAATATAATTTTCAAAATTACTTTTTTTTATTTAATAAAACTCGCTCTTTTATAGTACGTTTTAACAAAAAGCAACTCTAAAACCCATTTTATACCGCGATCTTGCAAATGTATTTATAAGAAAACAAAAATGAAAAGGAAAGATTAGTTTTGTGCCAAAGCATAAAGTAATTTCACATCTAATTCTATGTTTTCAGCAACAAAAAAGTTAAGCTCTACTCTAAATAAACTAGGAGTCGATTCCATGAACCCTCTTTCCTCACTAAATTCATTTCATTGCTAGATCGACTAAAAGATTCGAGCCATGTTAGAGCATGTGGATTCAAGTACGTCAAATTTATTTTTGCTGATGTAATCTGTGACATAAGTACATTGAATCACATGCTTAGAAGAGTCCAACATAAGCAAAATCTTAATTTCATTTCAAGAAATACAAACTTTTCACATAATAAACAACACAAAGAGTGTGATTACAAATAAAAACCTTAATAATCAATGTCAAGCAAAAATAATACTATAACAAAGTCAAATACAAGACAGTATATATCCCCTCATACAATTGCCAATTTGCCATATGCTGTCTGCCAAGCAAACGGCAACATGTTTATATTCTGTTTCTTTTCTTTCTAAGAGGTGGAAGAGAATAACCCGGTTGAAGCGTAATGATCATACGTCTGCGCAGCTCCTTATTTATGTGGGAGCTATAAATATTTTAATCATTTTTGCTGTGATGTTCATGATTTAAGGCATAATCCAAATTTAAGGAACCTGCCACCTTTGCTGGCTGCAGATTAATAGACTTAATGTGACACAGCATTCTCGGGCAAGCTGTTTGTCAACTACTTCGTTTATTGGAACGAATAGAATTTTTAAGCACGTCTCTGCTTGGAACCATGTATATAATATGCAATTTGGAGCAAGAGATTACCAAATAATAATAGATGGCAAATGCGCGGAGTCCTCTTGCTCTAAAACTTAGAGCTCTCTAAAGACAAAATTGCCTTTGAATCCTGTAATACGAGCACCACTGGTTAGAGAGGGTCTGCAGAAGCACATAAGCAATTCAGAAGCCTGTGCAGTAGAAGAGCAGAAACAAACCAAACTTCCTATGCTCATCATTAAAGATCTCAGTGGCCTTTCTTCCACGAGTAAAATAGATGGTTCAATTTTTTTGACAGTATTCCTGATAGAGATAATATCCATCAGTCAGATCATAAAGACTAATGTCCTAGTCTATAGATTATCTTAATGCGAACAAACACGTAGCCAAAAACCAAAGTGATGAAACAGGAAAAGTAAATAATTTGAACAAGTTTGAGATCGGTTCCCAAATTTTCTAATTTTTCATTCTTACTTGTCCACATTACTGTTTTCAGTGAATAGGTATGGATACTTTCAGAGCATGGGAATGCTGATACAGAAAACATGATTTATGTAAACCCATGCTAGAAGCAGAACAATATTTGGAAGTGGAGAAATTTACCAAGCACATGTTAGCATTTCTAGATCCAAGTACAACTCACAAACTCCTCTTCCTCAGCCACAGATATTGACAGGCCTACATCTACTTAACACCAAAAGTATCAACTCTCAATGCCATTATGAATTAAAAAGTCCAATCTCCATCATGGGGTCATTGGTGCTCATCGCTTTCTCATGACCTGCTTGGTCATGAATATAATCATCTAATGAAGTAGGTGAAACAACTAAAAGCTCAAGCAGTAAAGTGTAATAGAAAGAACCAAGAGCTTCAACTCTCACCAGCATTAATGATGACTCATAAAACCAGTCTTGAAACTCAAAATATTGGTCTAACTTATGATTGCCACCAATTATCTGCATTAAAACAAAATAGAATCCACAAACGAATAACATAATGAAAGCGTATGTATCAGTACATTTGTGTATGTCTGACCGTGAATGTGCATGTTTTTGTGCCTGCATACTCCAATGTTGTAAGCTATAGCCTATAAGTAAATCACATACCTGGCTTCTGCAATAAAACCAGTTAAGGAATGGTACAGTCATGGAATCCTTGATATCCAGTAAGCCATTGAGAATGACTACTCTACCCAGCCTGACTAGTTGACTAGCTAGATTCATCGTTTCTTCCCACTAGCCTTTGCTTTATGCTTTATGTGGTTTAACTTCTTCATGGCATCCATCAGTCTCCCCCGCAAAGCTCCAGTTATTGAATTCTGACTAATCAATCCTTTTGCCTTTAGATCCATCAGAAGTGTTTCACCCTTCATGGGGTCATTTCCAGAAGAAATGGCACTAGTGAGAATACTAAAAGTGGTGATATTGGGGCAGACACCTCTTTTCTTCATCTCCTCGTACAGTTTGAAGGCACTATTATTATCACCAGCATGACAGAGAGCTGTAATGAGAACATTGTAAGCAACAACATCAGGCTTTGCACCATGAAATTCCATTAAATCTTTCAAATAAAATGCCTCCTCGAGTCTAGATTCTTTGCAGAACTTATGCATTAAAGTTGTGAAAGTTGGAACGGTTGGAACAAGTTGCACCCTTAGCATGCAATCAAGAACAAGCATTCCCTCCTCTGTCTTGCCGCGCTGCACAAGTCCTCTGACCATAGCACTCTCAGCCACACTTCGCGAGCCAACACCAAGCTTCTCCATGTCATCTTTTAATTTAAATGCTCCTTGTATATCTCCAGCTCTACACATACTTGTTATCAAACTACTACATTGTCTATCAGTAGGAACAAAACCCATCTCCAGCATCTCACGGGCTTTTTCGAAACAAGATATTCGTTTAAGTCCATTAAAAATAGAACTGAATGTATCTTTATTGGGTAAAACTCCAACCGAGTTCATGATGTTTAACAAATCGAAGGCCTTCACCAACTCACCCCTTTCGCTATACTTGGTGATTACCATGTTAAATGTCAACTGATCTGCTTGAGTCCCCTCCCCAATCATCATCTTCAAAAATTTAGCCCCAACATCTGTCATGCTCGATTTACAAAGTCCAAGAACTATAGAATGACATGTTAACTTGTCAGGGACAAAACCCTTCCTTGCGATCATATCATACAATGCAAAGCACTCTGACATATTCTGCTGTTTTGCTTGCCAATGTAAGAGGATGTTATATGTAGCCAAATTAGGGCGCAAAGTTTTGTCGTTCATTAATGAAAGGATTTTGTCCAACTTGCTCATTTGTCCCAGTCTTGAGAACCCATCTATAATTGCATTGAGTGTAACTGTATCAGGATTGAGCCCTCGCTTTACCATGTCTTCAAAGTAGTAAATAGCAGCTTTTGGTTGGCCAGTCTTGAAAAGCGCATTAATGACACTTGTATACATAAACTGGTTCAGAGAAAAAGCGTCTCTTTCCAATACTCTTTCCAGTAGGATAACTGCCGTAACAACCTTTTCCGTTTTACACAGCATGGAAATAAGACTAGTATAAGCATAACTATCAGGAAACACATTATTTTCAACCATCTCATCCAAAATAAGCAAAGCTAGGTTGAAATTTCCCAGTTCACAAATCTTGGCCAGCAGAGTGTTGTAGAGAGTAGCATCTGTAGCACAAGGTATGTTTCGTAGTTTATGAAAGAATTGCAATGCTTCCATAAAATATCCTCCTCTGTACAGTCCTTTCAGCAGACTTCCATATGTGTGGAAGCTAGGCTGATGACCAAATCTAACCATTTGTTCAAAGAATGAAAAAGCGTTCACACCATCACCTATGCTTCCATAGCCATCAACAATGGTATCAAAAGTAATAGAATTGGGAACGAGACCAACCTCATTCATGTGATGCATGAAAATCTCTGCCTCTCCCACCTTCCCACTTCTACAGAGACTAGATATCAATACATTACAAACAAAAAGGTCAGCGCAATGACCACTTTGTAGCATTGCTTTGTAAACTTTTATAGCTTTAGTTGTATCTCCATGCTTGCACAAATTGTAAACTAATATAGAGTATATAGTACTGTTTGGTATGATACCTGATCTATATGCTTTACAAATTATTTCCCTTGCATTATTCATCTTTCCAGCTTTACAAAATCCATCCAAAAGTACTGAATATGTAACAATATCAGGATATACACCATCCTTGAGCATTTTATGAAGCAACTGTATACTTTCGGTTAGCATCCCATTTTTGCTTAACCCATTTATTAAGATAGTATATGTAATACAGTTAATATCATTACTATCCAGCTTTAAGCTCTCAATTAAACATCTTGCTGAATCAAATTTGGCATGCTTGCATAATCCATTCAAAAGTGTTCCATAAGTAACTTCATTTGGCATTAATCCTCTTGCTACCATTTTCTCCAAAAGTTCAAAGGCTTCTTCGAAATTGCCGGATTGACAATGCCCCTCAATCAAAGCATTATAAGTGACACAATTTGGTGAAAGATTAACATTAGACATCTCATCAAAAATCTTTATGGCAACTGCAATTTTTCCCTCTTTTACAAAGCCATTGATCAGGGTATTGTAGGTGACTTCATTGGGGAGTATCATCCTCATCTTCAGCCGTTTCAATAATAAATACCCTTTTGAACTCCTATTAGTTCTACACAAATTATTCATAAGCATGTTATATGTACACACATCTGGTTCAATACCCTTGCAACTCATGTGATCCAGCAGCTCAATGGCTGCTTTATACCTACTCTTTTTGCAATACCAATTGAGTAATGTGTTATAACTAACCACACTCGGAGCATAACCACTCTCCTCCATCTTCCTTAGTAAATAACCAGCCTTCTTCAGCTTCCCTTGAACACAAAGAACGTTTAACAATATATTAAATGTTTCAACATTTGGACAAATACCTTTTGAAAGCATCTCCCTGAAAAATGACCACACAGACTCAGAAGACCATTCTTTCACCATTGCTCCTAGGATCATATTGCAAGTATAAATGGACGGCTTAAAACCCCTAAAACCCATTAATCGGAACGTAGCTAAAGCGTCACCAATTGACCCCTTTCGTACATTAACCCTCATTAACAGGTCAAAAACTGCAGGGTTTGAGTGACAAAGACGATAAGTATCCATAAGGGCATTAAAAACTGAACTTGACCCCAAATCCATTCCAGATAAATGCTGTAAAATTGAATTGGCATGTTTATACATTCTAGCTCTAACAAGAAGATGGGTTGTGATACAGTACATGTGCGTTATATGACTGAGCTCTAAACCCGGCTGCTTTAGAAACCAGCTCAATATTTTCAGTGCCAACCTTCCATGAACTGGCCTCAGAGATGCCAACTTATATTTCATACAATTGAGAGACTCCCAACGGTCAATTGTCAGCATAGTATGTATGCTTCTCTCCATTTCTTCACCTATTTTCAGAAAGCACAAAACTTCACACTTCTTCACATGTATTTTTCGAAGAAAACGTATTTTATTAATGTGCACATGTAAAGAATACTGAATTATTATTAAGAAAAGAGAAACTGACCGGGTGATTGTGGGTTAGTTGAGGATTGACATCTGCTACTACTGCCTTCTAAATTTTCTGGAAAATCTTCAGAAAAACTCTTACACGAGAAACTTCTGAGTTTTGACAATTTTCCGGGCAACAGATGAAGTTTCTGGGTTGTTTTGGAACGCAGAAGCGAAGCCATCGCTACTGTTAATTGGCTTGTGCTGCTTCATTTGAGACGGAAGAATGAACCAAGCAAAGAAAGGGAACGTCGTGTTTGGCTAAACTTAAATAAGCTAATTTCACCAATGTCTATTGAAGTTTGTGCGAAATTTCAAGTTGGTCATTAATTTTTTTATTTATTTAGTTGCTAGTTTACTAGGGTTTCACCATTGATCACTTTGTTAGAAAAAATAGCATTTTAAGTTTTAAGTGACCCACCTACATGTACCATTTGGATCTCTTGAATATAATATACGTAAAATATATTCTTACAAGATCGCAATTACACTATAGAATTATGATCAATTTACGTAAAAGAGAAGTTAAATTTGTATCTTTTCAAAAAATCATGGTTTTACTCCAATTATTTGAGTTTGACCAAGTGAACCAAAAGTGAGTCTGTCCATCTCGGCATTTAGTAAATGTCCCGACTTATTATGCCCCGTTTGGTGCACATATTTTGAAAAAAAATGTATTTTTACTGTTGATATGATAGGGATTATGTGGTTAAAAAATAAGGAAAAGTTATTGATGTGATGGAAAATATTACTTTATTGAAGAATGTGTGGTTAAAAATGAGTAGAATAATGAAAATGAAAAAAATAATGTGATTCAAACATGACCTATACTAACAGAGTTATTAATGGTGAAACCTTTAAAAACTATGGTGATTGTGTTAAAAAATTCAACCATTATGAAGTTCTTGTTATATAATTTTGTTGTTCAAATATTGATAAATGAGAAATTGATCAACTATGGTTGAATAGAAATTAAAAATTGAAAAGGAAGTTGGGCAGTTTTTTCTTAAAAAAAAGAATAATGCTCATTGTACAATGCTGTGTTACAACATCACATGCGTTGTACATGTAGCATTCCCAAAAAAATTGTTGGACAGTTTTTCTTGGTACCTTTTCATCCTCTTTTATCATCTTTTTTGTGAAAAGTTGACCCCCATACGAAAGTGTATGAATGAATTCTATAAATAGAAATAGAATTCATGGATTAATATACTAATTCTCATTTATATACTTTGGAATAATCATCACAAACTTTCTCAAAACTATATTTAGAATTATTTCAAATTCTTTTCTTGTTCCTTCTTCTGGGTTTCAATAGTGCTAATTGCAACCCGGTTTCTTGACTTGAAATCCGCTAAAGCTATTTGTGTATTGGTCTTTTAGCATTCTCCTTACCGAGAGGGCGCAAATATAGCTTTTAGGATAGCATTATTTGCGATTCAAGTCTTCTTCTTTTTGAGTTCCTCTTGAATTATCATTGGATGCATATTATCTACTTCGTCGACAAATTTTCTCAACAATCTAAAAGCTATATTTGGCTTGCACAATGACAACCGAAGGAGATACCACCATGGCTACTATCAAACTCCTGAATCAAAACTTGGTGAGGCTAGACCGTTTTGATGGATCGAACTTTACAAGGTGGTAAGACAAGATCAAATTCTTGTTAACGGCACTCAAAATTTTCTACATACTTGATCCAAACTTGGAAGATCTACCTGAACCATCCAATAACGACACCGAACAATCAAGGTTGGACCGGAAAAGCGTGAAGAAGATGAACTCATATGTCGCCATATTTTGAATGCTTCGTCAAATCGACTTTATGACTTATATACCAATACAACATCTGCAAAAGAAATCTGGTATGCGCTAGAGAATAAATACAAGGCTGAAGAAGAAGATACTAGAAAGTTTTTAATTTCTAAATATTTTGATTTCAAATTCTTAGATAATATTCCCCTATTACCCTAAGTACATGAACCGCAAGTTATTGTCAATAAATTGAAAGTGGTAAAGATTGAATTTTCAGAATCATTTTAAGTAGGAGCAATTATTGCTAAATTGCCTTCTACTTGGAGAGGATATAGAAAGAAAATTCTTCATAACTCCGAAGACTTTTCATTGGATCAAATTCAAAAACATCTCCGAATTGAGGAAGAGTCAAGGGTAAGAGATGGGAATGAAAATTCTCATGTTGGTACTTCAAAAGCCAATACTGTGGAGAACAACAACAAAGTCATCAAAGTAAACAAAAGAAAATTTACTAAAGCCAACAACAAATTCAAAAAGAAGCCCAGTGGAGAATGCTTTGTATGTGGAAAAACCAGCTACTTTGCGAAAGAATGCGGACATAAAAACAAAGCAAATTTGAAGGCAAGGTGAATTCCATTGACAAGGATGAGATAGTCTCCACTATAAGTGAAGTAAATACTGTCAAGGGAAAAATTTCGGGATGGTGGTATGATACTGCGCCACCGTTCATGCTTGCTATGATGAGACTCTCTACAAGACATATCAAGACATTGATGATGATCAACAAATTCAAATGGGAAATGAACATTGTTCAAAGGTTATAGACAAAGGGAATGTTGAATTAAAATTCACATCCGGAAAAGTTGTAACTCTTACTAATCTTTTACATGTAGCGGATATGAATAGGAACCTTGTAAGTGGAGATTTGTTGGGGAAACCGGGGATTAAAAGTGTTTATGAGTCTGCAAAACTTATATTATCCCGCAATGGTTTCTTTGTTGGAAAAGGCTATTCTACTAATGGAATGGTCAAGTTATGTACTATTGACAATATTAATACAATGAATTCTTCTTACTTTGTGTGATCTTTAAATCTATGACATGATTATGTAAGGAAATTAATAAAAGATGGAATAATTTCACTTACATATGTAAGATCAAGTGAGAACTTGGCTAATCCATTTACAAAACCACTTACCAAAGAGTTGGTAAGATTAACATCGAGTAGGATGGGGCTTAAACTCTTTAAATAAAATTCACCAATGATGGCAACCCTACCTGCTATTACGAAATGAGTAATTTATGGGTTCAAATGGTAACAACAAGTCATTTGATAATTGAATTGATTACAACACTTAATATACAATTTAAAGCTCTATCCTAAAGATATAAGTACTGGGATTATCGTATTGAGGGTTGAATAAAACTTTAAAAAAATTCAGTACGTAGTACAAGTGTCTTTAAAACATAACCAAGACACTGTAAGAATTTCTCCTATATGAACTTATAAGTGGTTCCGCTTCAAGAAAAGTTAGAGTTACTTTCTGAAAAGTTCATGAATACGAATGGGTGCAAGACCATTAACGCACCAAAGTAAAACTGTGTGGAACATATTGAGATAGAATGATCACGTGTGTGATATCGCCGGTAATGTCATAAGGGATAATTGGTTCAAAGCTATGGCTACATGGAATCTCGATATTACTTTACAATATTAGCACTAATGTAAGATTTAAATCGAAAGATACCTTATCCAATGCGTGACATCGTTTATGATTCTAAATTGAGTTATAATATTTGAACAAGTGGGGGATTGTTATATAATTGTGTTGTTCAAATATTGATAAATTAGAAATTGATCAGCTATGGTTGAAAAGAGATTAAAAATTGAAAATGAAGTTGGACAGTTTTTTCTTAAAAAAAATTGTTGGGCAGTTTTTCTTGGTACCTTTTCATCCTCTTTTATCATCTTTTTGTGAAAAGTTAGCACCCATATAAAAGTGTATGAAAAAATTCTATAATTAGAAATATAATTCATGGATTAATATACTAATTCTCATTTATATACTTTGGAATAATCATCCCAAACTCTCTCATAATTATACTTAGAATTATTTCAAATTCTTTTCTACTTCCTTCTTTCCGGGTTTCAATAGTGCTAATTGCAACCCGATTTCTTGACTTGAAATCTGCTAAAGCTATTTGTGTGTTGGTCCTTTAGCATTCTCATTACTGAGAGGGCGCAAATATAGCTTTTAGGATAGCATTCTATGCGATTCAAGTCTTCTTCTTTTCTTCTTAGTTCTCTATTTTCTTTTGATTGTTATTACATATAATTTGGAGTTCCTCTTGAATTATCATTGGAGGCGTGTTATCTACTTCGACGACAAATTTTCTCAACAGTTCTGTGCAAATTTCAGGGATAATCGGCAAAATTATCTCTCTTAGTTTTATTTTATTTTTTCAAAATAAAGATAAGATAATTAATATTATACAGTGCCAGTAAGAACAGCTGTTGTAAAAATGATCGCTAGGAGATTGCATGAGGAATGAATAGATAAACAATACATGGGAAAACACAAGACCCTTTGCCCATTTCAAGGCTTCCTCGCCCGGCTTTCTCGGGTTCTAGGCCACATGATTCCAAACGTGAATGTAGATCATCAAGTGTAGAAATGAAAAATTCTTTGGATGGTTACTGTTACGGGCCTTCAAAAGCCTCCACCTCAGCCATCCAGTTCATCTGCCATGTGTGCATGAATTGATTTCGTGCTGCCACGTGACGGACGAACTGAATTTGTATTAGACGAACATAATCCAATACCCCGAACTGAAACACTATTACTTACTATGTGGAAGAGCTAAACTCATCAGCCATACACAACGGATGCAAAGGCCTGCACTTTCCTTTCCCTTTCTCTTAGTATAAATACTCCCACATTATGGTAAGATAAAGAAGATTCTGATTTCTGATCGCGAACTCCTTAAATCTAAAGACACATATCACTTTATTTATACATATTCTCAATCACGTTCTGGTGACCACTTCACCGCCGAACGTAACTTTTCGATTTACAAAGTCACTAATTAGATCGTCGGAGTGCTCGCGGCCACTTTCACCCCCACCGAAAAAGGCTGCGAGTGACTGATGGTGTGCTACCTTGCGCATGAAGGATCTTGCAACAGTCTTATTTTGTTGGTCATGTGTCATTACAATTACCGTTTGTAATGAATTGCAGTTCCAAACTCATGCTTAAAGATGGATTCAAAAATGGAGATCTCTATAGGTATTAAATAGCTGGTTAATGGCTCCAATCTCCATTCTTTATAACACTAGCAAATTCCATTTCTGTCATATATTGAGCTGATACATAATAAATCTTAAGTCTCCTTCGTCTGGGATCTCTAAACTTCTAACAGTAGATGCA